TGAATTTCATTTTCTGTGATATTTTTTAATTCTGATGGAAAATAAAGTGTTGGGAATCTAAATCAAGGAAACTTCATCTAACATTATGATATTACTGTTATCTGTAAAGCTAAGGGACCAAGTGAGGATTCTAAAAGCAGTGTGACCAGAAAGTGACTTTAACTTCAAATATCAAAACGCAATTTTGGATTCAAAGACCTTAAGGCCAAAAGGAACTGCTGTGATCATCTAGTCTGGGAGTGGGCAATAATTTTTTATGGGGGTCCACTCCCAAGATTTTGGAGAGTGGCTGAGGGCCACACTCTTCCATGGTATTAATAGAGGAGATGCGGGGTCTGGGATGGAGGTTGGATGCAGAAGGGAGCTTAGAGTAAAGAACTGGGGTGCAGGAGGCAGAATGGAGTCTGAGAGGGAGTTTGGGTGAGGGAGGCATTTGTGACCTAGGGCAGAGAATTGGGGTGCAAGGTTTGCAGATGTGACCTAGGGTAGGAAAGGATGGTGATCTCAGGCAGGAGACTGGGGGTCCCGATCTGGGAGGGGTATGGGTGCATATGGAGTAGCAGGGCAGGTGTGGGGGGCAGAGGTTTGGGGAAGGGAAGGGCTGAGGTGCCAGAGGCAGGTTCTTGCCAGGAGACTTACCAGCCTACCTGTCTGCCTGCAGAGCTAAAGGCTTACAGAGCTTAAAATGCCTGGTTGGCCATGTGCTTGAGTGAGTGAGCAAGAGGGTTCTGCTTTGTGGCTGTTATTTGGAGCTAAAGGCTTACAGAGCTTAAAATGCCTGGTTGGCCATGTGCTTGAGTGAGTGAGCAAGAGGGTTCTGCTTTGTGGCTGTTATTTGAACAGGCAACTCCCATTGGCCAGTGTCTGTCCAGATACTGGCCCATGGGATTGTGCTGGGGGTGGGAGCAGCATCTGAATCTCCCCTCCCCCTCCCCCAACTCAAAGAGAAAGCTCCACGCAGACACGTTTCCGAGTGGTGTGCAGGGCTGTGGGGCAAGCAGAGGAGCCTGCTTGGGGCTCTCCACTACCTCTGTGGGCTTGGGTCCAATGGGTTGGTGGGTTGGATTTGGCCCACGGGCCATATTTTGCCCAGGACTGATCTAGTCTGACTTTCTATATATTGCAGGCCATAGGATTTCCTGTTTGAACTGAAGCAATGGGGACTATGTAGTTTTGCACAAATGAGATGCACTATGTCTTATACACCACATTGTTACATTCCCTCTGGGACTGTTTTCCTGTACAGAGGTTTGGGATTTTAAGGAAATCAATCCACTTTTGAGGATATACCGATTAAATTGTTCCCCAGGAATTCCAGATGGAGAGGAATCTTCTTTAGAGAATGACAGTCCACATTTTCTTTAGACAAAAATATATTTTTACAAGACTAAGAGTGCAATGAGTTATTTTTAGGAAACAGCAGCATACATCAACTATTTATCTAAGTGCTTTGTGTCTTAAAGGGTATGTCTAGACTACAGGCTTTTGTTGACAGAAGTTCTGTCGACAGGTATTGTCGACAAAGCTTCTGTCGACAAAGAGCATCTAGACTACATCCAGTTCTGTCGACAAAGCAAGCCGCTTTGTCGACATGACAGTGTAGACGAAAAGGACAGTGTAGATTCAATAATGCCTTCTGTCGACAGAACCCTGTCGACAAAAGGCGTTATTCCTCGTAGAATAAGTTTTACAGCCATCAACAAAGCTGCTGAGCGGCAGTGTAGACGCAGGTATAGTTTTGTCAACAAAAGTCCACTTTTGTCGACAAAACCCTGTAGTCTAGACACACCCTAAGTGTACGTCTACACAGCAGGGCTAAGCTCGAAATAAGCTATGCAATTTGAACTACACTAATTGCATAGTTTAAGTCGAAATAACTTATTTCAAATTTGGGCACATCTACAAAGCACTTACTTTGAAATAGAGCACTCTTCCTGCAACTTCCCTTAATCCTCGTAAAGTGAGGGTTACAGGAGTCAGTTTAAGAAGTCCTCCAGCTGGACATTATTTCAACATTATGTCAAAATAACTGCTTGTGTGTAAACATGCACTTTGTTATTTCAAAATAATGTTAGTTATTCCAAAATAACAGTGCTTTGTAGACTTACCCCATGAGGCCTCTTAAAGAGGTTCAGCATAAGCATGAGATGGTGCGGAACTCTGAAGCTTAGGTGTAAAAATATAGGTGAATGATTATGTTACTAAAGCAAAAACCAACATTTAATGAGCCCAGTATTTCTGGAGAAAAGTATGAGGAAGTTAATTGATTTTCCTCTAACTGGCAACACTGGAGGGCTCTCCCTTGCAGAAGACTTTCTAAATTCAGAGTCTAGTACAAGGCTCTTTTCTCTTACAATAGATTGGAACACTTTAGCCCAGAGTTAGCACAGTACTTCAGCACTTTGAACATGTGAGTAATCCCATTGCTGAAGTACCTTGCTGAATTGGGTTCTAGGAATAGACAATGAAGAGAACAATCAGCAAAAAAATAAAATGAAAAGATGATAGCCAAAAAGAAGACAGACAGCACAATACACCACTTTAAAACTGGTTGAAATTTTACAGTAGCAACCTTTTATTTCATGGGTAGAAATGTCCTTTGGGAGATGTTATTTTTTCTGAGGAGAATCTAAATCAGATCTCTCCGTGGTCAAGGTACCAAAAATACCAAGGTATTTTGGATTTGTCCAAAATATTCTGCATCCTTAAAGCTTACCTTCTTGGAAAGCCAGATTGGGGAATGGTCCTTTACTGGAAATTCAATGTGAAATATTTAAAAGATTAAATTACCTTTGCCTCTATTCATATGTGCATTGTATTTTCTACTACCACTTGTGCTAAAAAATGACAGAATTTGCCCATGCAACCCACTTGCACAAGTCAAAGGCAAACTGAAAAACAATGGGGCTTCTAGTGTGAATCTAGAGCAGTATGTGGCAATGCCCAACAAAAATCCATGGCGGAAGTAATTAGTCCAAGGGACATATAATCTTAGAATGGTTTCAACTTCTTAGGTTTGTGTTCCCAAGTTAGTAGGGAATGGGTTTCCAATAATGTCACCCAACCTTTTTTCAAAATGAAATATGAGGAACCCTGTGAAAAAGCTAACAAAAACAAAAAATGCAGCAAAAAACGTTCATTAACTGTACACTAGTCCAGAGGGCCTGATTCAACAACATATTTAAGTACATGCCTAACTTTAAGCACAAGCATTTCCATTATACTGAATATTCTTTGCTGAATAAGAGTGAATGTATTTCTACAATTTCATTTTTGAGGCAGCCTAAGAAGGAAACATGTTGAAATTCAGATTTGCTGCACACAAGGCTGTCATTAATTTCACATTGGAAGGCCACAGTGTATTTAATTAATAGAAGATTGTATTACAAAAGGTAAGAATGAAAATTATAGCTCTTCATTTAACTTTCACATTCACACCTGACCATCACCACAGGGAATACTTAACTGCAGATCACTTCACATGATATTCACAGATGCAGAAGATAAAACAAATATTTGATCAGATGAATAGGAAATGTGCTTACTAAAACATATTTGCAAGATTTTTAAAAGCTCTAAGACATAAGGAACAACTAATGGACATTAAAACAGAGGTACAGAGTCTGTATCTTTTAATTGTATAAAGCACTCTAATTTGGATCGGTGTTTTGTGTAGAAAATTTAAATTGTCATAATTTCAGTTAGTTTAACAATTTTTACATTTGTACCCCCTGTGAATAAAGTATGTTCTCCTTCTCTTAATACAGACAAACTGTACTTGTCTTGTGAAACAATTACATTAAATATGTGGTTTTACTTAAGTATGATTTATTGATTAGAGCCTTAAGCCTTGTCTACAAACGTGTAGTTCTTGAATTAAACCAGTTCAGTTAACTGGTACTAGCCTCCATTTAGACATTCTTCCATTTTATACAGTTTGCACTTACATTAATCAAAAATAAGCCTGGTTTAAACCCAAAATATGAGAGTCCACACACAGTCTTTTGCCCCAGTTTACCCAAAAGGGTTTAAAATCACACTCTAGGCTATATTAGTGCAACTCTGCATGTAAATCTTAGATGCAGTAGGGAACTCCAGAGAAAGTCCAAAGAATGAAAAACCACCAGGTGTCTATAATTAACAGCAAGTACAGTGTACTATGATCCTTACAGAAGGACAAATATCCCTCCCTCCATGCAACATAAAATCAAGTTAATAGAGATAGTTGTATTGCAATGGATAATTTCAAAATCAGTGCAAGAAAACAGGACAATAAATGAATAAATTAATTATGTAATGATTAAAGGCAAAATTAGATGTAATATGACTTATTGTTGCCATATGTGTCTCCTTTGCCTAACATTCACTTTTAGTCACACCCCAGACAGTGCTGAGCAAGAAGGTAGAAGTGTCAGTTCTTAGCTTCTTGTTTTCTCTATTGATATAATAGGTCTCACAAGGCAGGCAAATCTTAAGTGGAAGCAGCAGGTGCCAGGCTGAGTATTTCCTAGACTTGCACCCTTTACTGCTAGTGAATAGAATAATAGTGCCTGATCAAGGAAAGAGTCCTCTGTAGACTTCCTATCTTCTGAAGGAAGAGTTAGCCCTGTGCTAGCTTCCCACTCCCTCCAAGGAGTGTGGGAAGAGCGATATAAACTATGCAATACAAATTATGCACAAAGTCTGACTAGAAGACCCTAAAATCTTCTAAGATGAAGGAGATTGCATCAGATAATTCACAATTCTCTGAGAAAGGAACCTGTGGCCTCCCTCATTTCATCAATGTAGATTCTCTCTACTGATAGGAATTGGAATGAGAGCCATATGAATGTTCCCCTATGTGTCTGTGTAAATGTCTGCCTAAAGGCATCCTTAGAGACTTGACCCACTTTCAGATATGTTTTCTCACTTGTCTTCATTCTTTTCCCCTACCTGAATCTTGTCATCACAAACTGCAGTATTGTTGCATCAGTACATGACATCAGAAGCATCAATGGGTGGTAAATAAAAGGATTGGTACACTTCCTCTTCTATGTCCATCTCTTCAGGAAAGCTTGTAAGCATGTGATTAATCTCATCCATATTCAGGACAGTGTTTACTTACAGTAAAAGAAGGACTTCACTATTGTCTGTAAATATAGATGTTTTCCTCGATTGTAGCCTAGAACTTAAATGCCAATGCTACCCGTGTACATGCTTCTAAAGTCACTAACAACATCCCATAGGTAGCTACTGTACAACGACTGAAAAGACACATTGGTTAATTAGAGTTGAGAGTTGTCTGTCAGACAAGCAATGCTGTAGTAGAGCTTTTTTTTAATGTGGTTGATTAGCTTTACAAATTGAAAAACACGTCGAGATTCGCATGAAACCAGACCTTGATACTCTATTCCTTGCCCTAACATAATTTATTTATTTGATGGCTTAACCCACCGGGAAATAGATACTAAAATACATATCCTGCTGGTGTCAGATGCAAAGAGAAAAAATTAACCCAAGCTTTGCAAGTATTTGACTTTCTTTTCTTAACCAGCAAGGAAAGCATAATCAAATCCTATCATTGTATTGACCTTAACAATAAATGTGCCAGTGTACTCGTGTATTGCTCGCATATAATGAATAGCAGAGTATCCTGCTTTAAATAGATAAACAGGTAATGGTGAGTACTGTCTCCAAAAAGCCATATGTTATACAAACTCCCTCATAAAACAATGTTGTATGCTTTATTTTAATGAAGTATAACACTGGGACATATGCACTTCTCTTTTATCAAGACTCTGTTTCTTTCTGTTTTAGACAACAGAAATTTTTGTGCTGGGAAGAAAAGGAGAAAGAAAATAATGAATTGGGGGAAGAAATCTGCTATTACCATCATACCAGGTTAACTACTAGAAATCTGATGAGATATATTAACTACTAGAAATAAGATATATTAACTACTAGAAATCTGAATGACAATTTATGGTGCTTAAAGTGTTGCATAAAACAGTGATAGTGTTCATACATGGACCGGAACGAAAACCCTGGAATGAAATACCCCCGACTCCGGGAAAATTCGGATCCAAATCTCTGGTTCTAACTTGTTTATTATAAATACAACCCATATGTAAATTTCCAGATTTGAAAGGGGCCTATTAATGTGCTAGGCAGGAAGCAGGACGTGTACATTTTGTCCCTGGTTTAGAAAAAAATACAGGTATTTTAGTTTATTGATGCATATACTAAACCTGCAAGTCAGTCCTCGGGAAAAGAATGCATAGGCACATAGCTTTTTGACCACATGGATGTATAGCCACTGCCAATCGGACTTTCTTTAGCAAAAAGTGTTGCACCTGTCGTGAGCCTCAGGGGAAAAGGCAAAGAAATGCAAGGGGATATGGTTGTTGTTTTGGTGGAATGTTTGAAGATGACTGGAAATAATTTGACCACTTGAGACTTGGGTTCAGAGTGTTGCCTGAAGCAACTGGTAACTTTCCAAAACAACAGGAGCTGAGCACAGTCTATCATGCTGACCAATATTATCTCACACTTTCCTTGCAGTCCTTTGTCTGTTTGTAACCATCTGTTCTCTCATCTTATTTGTAGAGTGATACTCTTTGGGGGGGAGAGACTGTCTTTTTGTCCTGTCTCAGAGGAGTAGCCGTGTTAGTCTGTAACTTTAGAAATAACAAATAGTCCTTAGAGTCTAGTAAAAATGTATAGGATCATGGGCTTTCGAAAGCTAATGACCCTATGTATTTTTGTTAGTCTCTAAAGCTATGTCTAGACTGCATCCCTCTGTCGGCAGAGGGGATGCAGATTAGGCAGATCGACATTGCAAATGAGGCAGGGATTTAAATATCCCGCAACTAATTTGCATAAAAATGGCCTCCGCATTTTGCCGTCTCAGCACTTTGTTAGCAAAAAAGCAGCAGTCTAGAGGGGGATCTGTCCATAAAAAAAACCTTTTTTGACAGATTCCGTATGCCTCCTGCAACGAGGTTTACAGGAGCTGTCGAAAAAAGGCTTTCTTTCTCAACAGATCCCCCTCTAGACTGCTGCTTTTTTGCTAACAAAGTGCTGAGACGGCAAAATGCGGAGGCCATTTTTATGCAAATTAGTTGCGGGATATTTAAATCCCTGCCTCATTTGCAATGTTGACCTGCCTTATCTGCATCCCTCTGCCGACAAAGGGATGCAGTCTAGACATAACCTAAGGCACCACAGGAATACTCATTGTTTGTACAGCACCTAGCAGAACAGGGGACTGTGATCTATTACTGAGGGTCTTATGTGTTATAGGAATTCAAATTATAATCATATTAATAAATAACTATGCTTGGGTATAGAGAGGTATACTGAGGTCCAGTCCTGTGAGGAGCTGAGTGGTTCATGCATGTTGCTAACGTCAGTGTGAACTGAGGTCTCTTACAACTTGACAGGATGCCCTGAGCTTCCTTCAGGAAAGGGCACAGAGGGAGGAAACCATTTTCAGCTATTTCAGTTTAAACATAAGTCATTTGCCTATTTCAGGCATGATTCTGCCTCCACTGATGTCAAGGGGAGTTTTTCCAATGAAGTTGCAGGGAGCAGGGTCTAGCACATGTATCACAATGTATCCTGTTAACTTTTTTTTGGATGGCTTTTCTTTCTACACATAGTTCTTTCAGGGATGGTGAAAGCAGCTGCCTTGAAAACCCTAGACAGTGCAAAGCCCTCAGCCCATCTGCAGAATAGGTACAGCTCAGGCAGCAGCCATGTGCCCTGCCGATATGCCTCAAACCTGACCTAGAGGCATCATCTCTAGGATGCAGAAAATGGCTCCGTCTTCACGTACATTTAATCCTGCTGAGACTGCCAGCAGGGCTGACGATTAGTGCCAATTGTGGTGGACTTTTGAAGCTGGCCAGTAATTTAATTGCTGGTTAATAGGTACAACTTGGAAGTCTGAGAACTTTGTGGTCTCATAACTCTCCCTTTCCTCCCTATTCTAGCCCTACCATTTCTCTGGGTGATTTCATCAAGGGAAGCAATTATATAAACTGATAGCAGCTTTCTCTAAATTACTGGCAGGAAGCCAGCATTATGCTGCAGAGGTGCAGTTCAGTGCATCAAGTGGTTGCACTGAGTGGCGCTCTGAAATGATGTGATGTGGCTACATGATTAAATACTGGCTTCCTGCCGAACCTTTCTGCCTGGGAAACAACTGTCACTGCTCTTAGCATCCCTCCCAGCACCTTGAGAAGTGAGAGCTCTGTTCTCACCAAAGGAGAAGGCTTTGTTAGCTGTGGGTAACATTCTGAGATCCTTACTCACTTTGAATGTAGTTTTTACTATATCCTTTCTCCAGCAATCTCCTACTAAAATCAAGGGCCTCAAGGTTTGACCTTGGGGGAAGCTTATCTTTCAGTAACATCACATACATATTGTAAAACTCAGTGGTTAATGATCTACATTGGGATGAAAGGAAAATTGTGGCAAAATTTGTGTTATCTGAGGCACTGGTTCTACTACTCTCCCTTGCTCTGTCCTCCTGACAATCCATAGCATTCTCTGCACCCTTTCTGGAAAAGAGAGAGTGGAATTATTATTAATACTTACATTTCTGTAGCATCTTTGATTCCAAAGGATCACAAAGCACTGTCCTGAGGCCCCTGCTCTGCTTTGGAAAATAAGGGGAGTGTGCAAAGAGACTCTCCTCTCACACACACTCATCCCCACTTTTTCAAGGTCCAACCACAGTCCCTTGAGTGGGAAGACCACACCTGGCGGGTAGCCCTTGCTACCCCAAAAAGGGCAGGGAGGCAGTATTGCATTAGCAAGCATAGCCAGCTAGCTGTGGGTGTTCCTCTGGATGGGAATAATAGTAAATATACTCTCTTCTCCTGCCTGTAGTAATTTGGGGGCAATAAGCATTGAAACTTTGTGCTGGATTTCATGCTACCCCTGTTCCTTAATGGCCCCAAATTACTGAAGTGATAAAAATGTATTGGCAGAAGTGTCCTCCACCACTAAGATGCTCTGGGAATGAGGGGTTCATAGTCCATAGAGGTTTACAAGAGAAAGTGAAGAATCATCTTTGTAAGTGAAAGTGTAGGGGGAAAAGAAAGGCTTGAGCCTGGAAGCCTTCCACATTTGACTTCAGTGTAGGGTTTGTCTAAACTACATCCCTTTTCTAATGAACAATAGCATATTTGCATAATGGTGCCTCATTTGAGATAGCTAGATATCACAGTCACACAAATAAGTAATAATAATTAGAGAGCTGAAGCCCCCATCTTGCTGTAACTTAATTTGTAGTTTGTGATTACTGCATAACTTCAATAGGAATTGCAGGAACATGCAATCTTCATTTCTGGGTTAACGTGCCCAATTCAACCATGCTACATTTACAAAGGTTGATGTGATTCCCAGACAAAGGGAAATAATCATCCCAAATAAATTTTAGAGGTTAGAAAAGGCTAAAAACTAGCATTTTGCAGAGATATATTTCTTGGGGAATGTGAGCGAATGCCAAATAAAACTTGCTGAGCTGCTAGACATGATGTCCTAAAGTTTCTGTAGAAATACTGCAAGAGGGAGAATCTTCTTATTTGTTCACAAGCAATCCATATACTGTAGATAATACAGGTGTCCAGTCCTTTCTTAGGATATTAATGACAATAAGAAAAATCTAGATCTACTGATCACAGATTGTTCCTTAATTCATCTCTATTAACATATTAACTTGGGGGTATATAGCAGCTACTATGGCTTTCCAAAGACATAATAGAGGTGACAGTCTCTCACCACCCTGAATACCCAGCAAGCTGAACAAACCTAACTCAGATAAACCAAAAGGAAAAAAGAGTGCCTCCTCCCTTATATGACTAACACCATCTAGTGGCAACAACTAAGGAGACCTCCAGGAAGATGTAATATGGTCACATGTATAGCAGTTTTAACAGTCGTCTGAGCACATTAATAGCAACAAGTAAAATTCAATAATTTATGGAAAGAAAGAAGTGCCTAAATGTTCTGTCTCTCCCCTTTTAGCATATTGCAAAATGAGATATAGCATCAATTATGTAAGCAGGGGCTTTGTGTCAATTCCTTCTACAATCACAAGCAAGAGAGACATAGCTGAGGCTCTTGTGTGATCACTGAAAGCCTCCCGACAACTGCCTGTTTGCCATGCATTTTGAATATTGGCAGGTAGGTCAGAATTATAGTACACACTACTCGCATACTGAGCTGTGTAAGCATTCCTCAAGGCATTAAAGGGTATGCTCCATAAAAATAAAAGATATGAACGGAGCCCTTAGAAAATCTCAGAGGCATGCCCCCTATTGAGTAAGAATGTGCCTTCTGCACTACTCTACTAAGGTGCACAAAATCGTACTCATCAATGGGACATAACTGTGTCTTTTTAGTATATTGGACTCTCCAAGATGAGTTAAAAAGTAGATTTATATGGACAAACATGAATTCTGATCCACAATGAAGACTCTCTCCTGTATCTAGGGGCAATTGTGAGACGTGATGGTACATAACAATCTATGTAGGGTCATATTACTCATTGTTGCCTTTGAAAATTACAGGTACAATAGATGCTGAACTAATGTTTTTCTTAGTGAATTCTTTGTTTTCTCCTTACACTGAACTCTGAATGAAAACTGCCAAGATAGCAATAAGAGGAGAGGTTTATGCTTTCTCATACACTAAAACTGACATTATGACTTTCCTAAAGCTTGCTTCATGCAATATCTTCTCCTCTCAAGTAAACGAATGCGACTCCATTGAAATCATCAGTGTTTGGTCCAAAAATTCTACTTTTATATCATTTTAGAATTATTATTTCTTATCTCAGACTAGCACAGGAATTAAAAGGCACAGCATCCTATTTTCTATACACTTTAAAGAGTTGCAGTACATTTTGAGTATTTGCCTCAAATTTACTGCTTGAATAAATGATATATATCTTTGCTGCTCTGAGCTCCACATTCACAATACCTGAAAGACCTTGTTTCCATATAAAATTTTAATACACGGCAAATCTATACATTGCATAATCTGGATTTCACTTCCCCCTCTGATTCTATCATCTTTCAGACCAGTTATTTATTTATAGGAGATAAGCCAAGAAAATCACCCACTTTTAAACCGAGCCAGATCTTGAGATGGGAGAAATCAGTTTACACCAGCTGAGGAGGTAGAAAAGTTCAGAATGTAATATAATTTAAATGGTAGCCTGGTCTAACATAGTTTAGGGTATAAGCAGGATACAGAACAGCCCAAGGATTAGGGCGCTGCAAATGAGAGTTTTAAATCCAGTTTTGCCTCCCACCACTGATCTGGCCCATAACTCTCAAGCGTAACTCAGTTTGAGTCAATCATTCACTTATTTCCACCCCAAAGTTCCCTATATTCTACACAAATGTGGCATCTCCTCAACTTTTACTGTGGAACAGTATTTATATCTGAAATAAAGAAGTGGGAAACACAGGTCATAGAAAAAGTCATTTGTGCAAAAGGAAAGAATCTTGCATTCTGTTAAGATTGCTGTGTGAATAAAAATATACGTGTATTCATTTTGCATATTTCTCACATGTTGTAATCCCGTATTTGGGTCTTGCTGAGTTGCAAGACATGATCTGGCCCAGGATCTTATCCCGAATTGATGGGAGAGATTTTCAAAGGCATAAAAGGGAATTAGGCATCTGGCTTCCATTGACATTCATATCCTTTAATGCCAGGGTTTCTTCCTTTTATACAGTTGTATCATTCTGTGTATTATGATTATTATGTGTAATCATGATTATCTTTTAAAAAGTAAAAAAAGACAATTGAGGGCTCCAAACTTTGAACCCACATGTGAAAAATAGATATCCTACTTGACACTGAAACAGAATGAATTCATTCTCTATTGATTTCTGGATTCAGAGGCCTGATCTTACTTATTCAGTTCTCCCACATAGGCTGTGTCCAGACTCAGGGGGTTTTTCGGGAAAAGTAGCCTTTTTCCGAAAAAACTTCACCTGCGTCTAGACTGCAGCCACGTTCTTTCGAAATTAAATCGAAAGAACGCGGCTTTTCTTTCGACGGCGGTAAACCTCATTTCATGAGGAAGAACGCCTTCTTTCGAAAGTGCTTCTTTTGAAACAAGGCGTTCTTGAATGTAAATAGGGCTTCTTCGAAAGAGAGCATCCAGACTCACTGGGTGCTTTCTTTTGAAAAAGCGGCTTGCTCTTTCAAAAGTTCCGCGTGCAGTCTAGACGCTCTCTTTCGAAAGAGGCTCTTTCGAAGGTATCTTTCGAAAGAGCCTCTTTCGAAAGAGGCTTGCAGTCTAGACATAGCCATAGATAGGAGGTAATATTCCTGTTCTGCATAAAAAATGAAATTAAAATATTAATCAAAATCACATAAAGAAGGCAAAATCTCAACCCTGCCCTTGTGCCTAACTAATTATTTTGAACAGCCCTGGTCTGTTAACCTCTGTGTTGAGTTGGTAATGTATCCCCCTTCGGTAGATTCAAGATCTCTAGCAACACCTATGGGAAAATCTTTAATTAATCCTCTGTTACTGTTGTAATTGCACTATCCTGAGGGAAAGGCTGAGTAGCCAGGAATATTATTTTAAACATATACTGTAAACAACATTTGTCCTCAGGAGAGTTCAGTTAATACAACGGTTTTGACCCTTTCACTGCTGGGTGTTTAACAATTTCTTTTTCCTAAACCAATAAAAAGGGTTTATTTCCTTTCATGTAGTCTTATTTAGACTTCATGCTAAAAAACCCACAACTGAGTGCAATTACATATGAACACACCCAATAAAATAATTGCTTACAGGCTGCTTAAAATATTTCTGTGTAAATGAAGAAAGCACTGACTTTTCACTCCCTTCCACACTACTATCTCATTAAATGTGGTTCTCTGTGAAAACAGATTTCTCTGACAGTGACATAATTTGCAGTATCCGTCATATTTGCTGTAAACAGGATCTGTTCATTTTCCTTATTTCTCTTAGACAGTCTACAAAGGCAGCTTTTTGCAGTGATTCAAGCAAGGGAACAAGGATTCCTGTATCCTGTTTCCAGTTCTGTCCAGAGTCAGGTGAATTTTTCTAATTGTAAAATGTTTATAAAATTTCATATTTTGATTTTTTAATAATTTGGCCAACTGCAGAGCTCGGTTGAAATGTTTCAAATTTAAAACATTGACAAAAATTTGGAAAGGACTTTTTGAAAAAGTATACATAATTTTCATTCCCATTTTTTTGAGCAGACATACTGTGCCATGTGCTCACTATATCTTATTTGGTAAGTTAGTTGAAACTTTTTACATCATCTGCATTATGGATAGGATAATTCATATTGATTCCACCAGGATGCTCTCATGGCAATTTAATATCTGTAAAGAATTTGAGATTTTCCCATGACTGCTGTTATAGATGTGCAATGCATTTTTTAGGGAATACAAATAAGAAGGCAAAAGTGACATCATTTTTTTAAAAAAGTTAGTATATTATACCGATACACATAAATAAAATTCCACTTGATCACATTTACACATGTTCAGATACTAAGGTGATGAGCACAGCAAAAATAAACAGGTAGATGCATCTGATTATGCTAGGTCTGAACTTGGCCCTAGGTCCTACATCCGCCTTTTGTTTTAGACGTTGTCGAGAGATAAATCTGTTTGCCTGGACCCTAATCACCCTTACTTTCTCTCTGATTTCCCAGGATGATTCTAACAACTAAGGCTGTTTGTTCTATGAACACCTTCCTTCTTTAAATTTTTCTTTCTTTCCTCCCCAAGTGGCTATGACTATGGAGATGGAAGCTCCCTACTACAATAGTGATGCCAGCTTTTTGAATTCACTGTTGCTTCTACATTTTAGAGTCTCAGCCTGTCCCAGGATCTGAAGAGCTTTTTAACTTGCATACTGGGATAAGCCTGCAGGCAAAGAAACAATCCCTTCAGATTCCTCCTATCTTTTCTCTCTCTTTTCCCCCCAGAACCTTTCAATATCCTGTTCTTTAGCACAAACTTCAGAATGAATATTGTTTTCAGGATTTACAATGAAGTAAATCTTTTCACAGGGCCAGTCTGGGAAATTAAACATTGATTGGATTGCACCCAGAAAAGCATGAGGAAAAAATACGAATAGAAACAAACAAAACAGTTGGGGCACAAACTCATTTACCTGCTATGGACGGATGAAAGGTTCTGAGATTCAACAGGCCTAAGCTGAGCCTTTTTCACGACATTCATCACAATAGTATTATCAGGCCAAGAAAGGGGGAAACAATGATAAATGTAAACACTTTTGGAGACTGGTATGTTGCCAGCCAGACACAGACTATAGGGGGTGGTCTGAGGGCTAGAAGGAGGAAAAAAGGAAGAAGAGCTGTTTTGCAGTGAAATCATGTTTTCCACAGCGTGAAACAGGATCATGACCACAATTAAATCACACAGGATTAGGCCATAATGTACAAAGACCCTTTCTACAAACAGAAATTTATTCTCTGAATTTAGTAAAAGGTTCAACTATAATTAATTTGTAAAAGGAAAAAGAAAGCAATACATTTCTTAAATGAACAGTCCTGTGAATATAATACGTGTATCTTTCTTCTGGAAAATTTATTAAGCATTAGTTAGAAAAAAGAGAGAGAGAGGCAGACAGAGAGAGAGCGCAAACTGAATCTCTCTGTTCTTGCCAGTTTCTGCGGCTGTGGTGAATTATCACAAACTTCATAAATGTAAGTAAAAATGGAACCCTTGAAGTCTCAGTCACTTTATTTCAACAGAATGTAACCATATTCCAATTTGCACTTGAATTAATAGGAGACTACATAGCTTTGAAAGTCTTAAAGAGCATGTCACACCTATTATAACACATTTTATTAATCAGTGCCTTACATTAAGAGAGACCATCCAGCCAAGCTTTCTGCAACTCTTTCAAAAGGAGAAAAAAAAGAAAGGAGAAATGCATTTGTTCTTTGCATGCAGTAGTTCAATGATATCACAAACCAATTCTGTTAAGCAGACACATTAGGATATTCATCATAGTTGTGCAGAACATTCTGCTTCACTTAAAACACCTTCATTGGTAGTTAATACTAATACTACATATTTTAATGAACACTAAATGTTAATACTTTGATATCAAGGGTTTCTTTCTTTCCATTCCCCTCCCTGTATCATTTTGCATGTCCGAGCTCCATCAAAGCAAACACTTACTGTCTCCCTTTGATGTTGTCAAACATTAGGATTGGCTCTTGACAATGTTGATACAGCTCTGTTAGTCAGTATTCATAGGTGTAACCTGAAATGCTCAAGGAGCATTCATAATGATTCATAGTGGAAAGAACTGTGATATGCAAAAAAAAGGGGGGGGGAGCTAGATTTTCATATACAGTTCAGTGCAGACAGCTATAGTTCCAGTTCTAGGATACTGGTGGATCTTGGTAATAAAGAGAAACATAAACTATGATTTCCTTTTTACCTTCCCATGTTATAAATGTTACAGTATGGGAAGGAGAGAAAGTGGAAATGGCTGTGCACAAAATAATAATAAGTAACTCATTTCAAATATATTTTATGTATAATATATTAACTGTAAGATTAAATGAATATTAATTATAACTAATAAAAAACGTATTCAGAAAACTTTGTTTATTCTGGATTTTGGTAAGAGCATTCAACCTTCAAGAAGAAGGGTACATCTACACTGCGGCTGTGTCTACACTGGCCAGTTTTTCTGGAAAATCAGACGCTTTTCCAGAAAAACTTGCCAGCTGTCTACACTGGCCACTTGAATTTCCGCAAAAGCACTGACTTCCTACTGTAAGAAATCAGTGCTTTTTGTGGAAATACTATACTGCTCCCGTTCGGGCAAAAGTCCCTTTTGCACAAAACTTTTGCACAAAAGGGCCAGTGTAGACAGCTGAAATTTGTTTTGTCCAAAAAAGCCCCGATCGCAAAAATGGCGATTGGGGCTTTTTTGTGCAAAAGCACATCTAGATTGGCCACAGAAGCTTTTCCGCAAAAAGTGCTTTTGCGGAAAAGCGTGTGTGCCAATCTAGAGGCTCTTTTCCAAAAATGCTTTTAACAGAAAACTTTTCTTTTAAAAGCATTTCCGGAAAATCATGCCAGTCTAGACGTAGCCTGCATGTTTATTTCAAAATGAGCTATTCTAGAATAGTTATTCCGAAATAGCTTATTTTGAATAGCATGTCTATACTGCAGGGAAGCCTCAAAATTAATCCGAGGCAGGCTTCGCTAATGTAGACATGCTATCTTGATTTAGAGCCCCAGGAGGCACTGGGGAGGAATAACTTAGAATGGCCCTGGTGAGGGGCTATTTTGAAATAGCAGCAGTGGAGCATCTACACATACCTTATTTCAAAATAGCTATTTTGGAATAGGTGTTATTCCTCATAGAATGAGGTTTACAGATTTTGGAATAAGCCGTCTGTTATTTCAACACTATTTCAAAATAATGGAATGGCTGTGTAGACTCTCGCATTGTTATTTCGAAATAATGCTAGTTATCTCAAAATAATGGTGCGGTATAGACATACCCTAATAGAAAATGCTATACATTGGTAGTGGAGCTAAGTCTGGGGTCTGGGGATATATACCTATGTGAGATGTGCTTAATAATGCTACCAGTCTACAACACTATTCAGAACCATTGTACATGCCTTCCAAATGGAAAAAATAACTATGCATGACATTATTGAATATTAGGTGCAGTTTGGAACAATGTTAAGTATTATGCAACACCCTTTTCTAAAATCCTACAGCATTGTAAATTTATGTATTCACCTGTTTCTTCATCATGGAATCACAAGGTCAAATTCCATCATCAGGAGTGCATGTGAGTGGCCTGGATGTGAAGACAGACTCTTGCCTGCAGAATTTAGAGATTCAAAGTGTTTATTTGCCTATTTACTCTAACATCCTGGCAGTGCAGGATTGTTTCCTATATTGTAAGTTGAAGTGTTTTGTCCAGTTAAATTTTAAATGAAGGAAGCAATGAGACATAGTTACATAGATCTCACTATTCGGCAAGATTTTCTAAATGTTCCTATTCTCAATTTCATTTTACACCCCCCTTGTTCAGTGCCAATAAACAAATAATGTGCAAAGACTCTGACCTTCCAAAACTGTAATTTATAGTACTTTCCAAAACACAATATGCCAAACAAACAGGCAGTCTATAAAGACAGCAATAGATATTTTTAATTTTGTTTATTATTCATTTGTTAGTTCTAAGAGTTTTCACTTAATCTGTGTGGCTGACCTCAAATTAAATTACATTGCCATTCTGTTTATTTTGTTGTGATAAACAGAAGAATACAGAGCATGACATTTTCAGCATCTTTGCTACCTCTGCATGTAACATAAATGGAAGCATTTCTTTTTGCTTCTTGTGCAATGTTGATATGTTGTTGAAGTCTCTTATATCAGACAAATGGACTTCATTATACAGCAGAACACTTCAGAAGTACAAACCTTTTGGGATGACAAAAACCCACTGAATTCTCTACTTTCCACCTAAGCTGCCAAATTTGCCTGGGTTTGGCAGTTTTACTAACAAAATTCTGTTAGTGGAGGCAGAAAATCTAAGCCTGCGTCCAGTCACTGCCAGTCTGCCACACACACATAATAGATCTCAACTTTCCACATCTGATCACTGCTTGAAGGGGCAGTTAAAAGCTTAAATACATGGGATTTTCTGTCTATAACCCAGAGAATTTAATCCCATTGATATCCAACCCATTCTGAAAGAGAAATATGTTGTATGTATGGCAAAATCACTTCCAATTAGACTGACATACTGTTTCGTGTCTCTCAAATTTAAAGTAGTAAGCCCAATCTTACAAGGTGCCACGCACCCTTAACTTTGAGGGCTGAGCACACTTAAAAGAGACCTTAACTTGCTATTAAAATGTTTGACATGTTAAACTTAGAGCATCCTGTGCACTTTAAACATTTTCTCACTTTCCAGAAAAATATTCAACACAGATTCACAGTGATTGTTAGTAAATACATTGCAACATTTAGCTTCAATTGCACAATTGAAGTCAGTGGGATT